GCTCTCATTCTCTTTCTCTTTCTCTCTCTCTCTCTCTCTCTCTTTCTTTCTCTCTCTCTCTCTCTACCTCTCTCTCTCTCTACCTCTCTCTCTCTCTCCTATATCGCTCGTGCTTCCGCGCAGCGCACTGTCCAACGACTTCCTGTGCAGCCTTGTGAGTTGACAGGAGGAGCGCCCTCGCAGCTCGGGCACTGTCCTCAGTCGCTTCAAGAAGCGAATTGCTGACTTGGGGTCGAACTTCTCAGAGCCGTGGCGGAGCTCTTGGGCACGGGCTCGGTTCCTTGATGGTCGACAGGGGGACTTCAACATCCCAGCGGCGGGTCTGGATCTGTCTGGTTTCAAACAGCTCGCTCGAGCACGTGTTCTGTCTCCCCGTGATGTCCTATCGCCTGTGCTCAGGGCCGCGGCGCTCCAGTGACCTGTCGGATTTCGCTCGTGCTGGCACGGTTGACCTGGGCCCTGCCAGTACGCACCTGTGCCTGAATGCCTGCGCTGAGCCTGCAACGTTGGAGCGCATTATTTGGCAAAGACGCCGACCACCACCTACACCAAAATGCTACGACACAAATATTCCCAGGTCGGAGCTGCGTGCGCAAGTTGTTGATGGCGGACCTGGTCTGGTTCATCCATGTTTTTATATACATATATATAGAGTGCTGTGACTTCCTTCGTTTTTTTCCAATGGTAAACTCGGCTGTCAGATCGACCGAGTCCGTGCATGAGTCCAATAAGTCGCTTGTGACCTTACACCGTGTCAGACTAATCGTGCATAAGCTCCCAGCTTTGGTGGACTATGACTGGTGGGAGAAGCATTCGTGGGCAAATGTGTCGCGAACTTGGGCTCGCTTGTCGAGCTCAACCATTTGAGACGAAAGAAAGATATCGCTTGTACATGGAACGGTTGTCAGATGTCCGCGAGCTCAGCGGGCGTCCAACGCGAGAGGTCGAAAGCTGTACTTTCCCGACGGTCCACATGATCCCGCCTGGTGGCGGGCTAAGCCTGGTTGCCTTCCCACCGAGGTTGAGACGTTGAATAAGCAATCGGAAGTCATTTCTGTTTCTGTTAGTGCTGCCTGAAAGGCAGCCAGGTTTGCAGCTAAGGCGAATCTGAAACACTAACTCCTCAAGGCACTGCCTGAGGGAGCGTAGGAAGTAAATCCTTGGTCTAACTATGAACTGGGGGAGGCTCCCGAGGTTTTGATGACCCCCGATCGGATTCGGCAATTGCTTCCAGACGTACAAGGAGACCTTTCGGAATCGCATTTGGAGCGCCCCCCCCAGATGCTCGTGAGATCCTCTCTGGAATATCAACTTATCTTCGGCTTATCGCCTTTCAGGCCGTGCAGGAGCTTGACCCGCTGGAGGCGAATAATGCTCGATGTGCTGGCCAGATGCTTTTCCGATGCGACCTCCATTGGCCTATAGCACTGGGCTCCCAGGGCTGTGATGGACCAGCGGAAAGAAGCTGTGCTGAAGTGCACTCAACTCCTCAACCAGTGCGGGCAATATTTGATCTGGCCCTCGCAAGTTTTTTCAGCGCCTCATCGCGTTCCTTCCCGAGTGTGGAGTGTGACCGCCACATTTGCAAATGCCCCGCGGCACATCGGGTTCACTGTGAATATCGAAGCCGTTATCTAAACGAGTGGGCCATATAGAGAGGTCCAACTGTTGGGACGCTGACATGAAAATATCCAATGTTTTTAAGGCTGCTTTTATTCGTGACCTTGAGACTAACCTTGCTTGGTATCACGACATCTGTTCGGTATGGTCACACGGGATCTGAAACGAGATTCTGACTCGGTGGAGCCGCACGTATTGATTCATTTGGCTGCTAAGATGGACTGCCCATCCACCTCCTGTATCGTGGTATTCGAATCGACGGACCCCCCACATGCTCGAACTAGGAGGTTTTGTCTCTGACGTTATTGAGCCTGGACGTAGCATCCTGGCCGGTCGTGTTCAACCCAAGTCCTGGGTAAACATAGTGTTCATGGTATCCCGCGTGCTGCTCATGTTCATGTTATGCCTGCCGCGATTACGGGGCATGTGGAAGGCATCGCGCAATCTCAGCAAGGCAACTTGTGAGCGATTCTCGCAAACCTCGTCACGTCTGGGATGTGTGTAACGGTCAAGCTGCGACAGCGTAGGAATCAGGCCTCAGCCACGGCCAGGAAGGTGTCCTGCCCGAGTCGGATTGTGGAGCGGGCCAGGAAGCTCTACAGCCCAGGAGTCTTGGCGTCTGGGTCCTGGGGCCATCAAATCGGGACCTTCTGACCCGGGTCAATCCAGACCCGGGTCAGCAGGAAACCAAAAACTGCAATGCAGGAACAAAAAACTGCAACGCAGGTCTTCGGAGACCCGGGTCAGCCAATATGTGCGGCCGCCCCGCGGCCACGAACGGCTCGCTAACCCGGGTCAGCCAGAGGGGGTCTTCGCAGGATCCTGCAGGATCTGGTGCCGTGGCTGACCCCCGTCTGCACTGACCCCCGTCTCGAGGCTCCCGATCAAAAATCCTGGGCATGACGCCGGGACAGATCAAGTCCACGAGAGCCCGAGCGACGAAGTGCTCGGGCTCGCGGTGTCCTGGGCCATGTGCGACCTCTGCGTCACCCCAGGCCGGCTCGACCAAGGGTGACCCCCAGCTGGGGCCTCGCTATAGCCAGCCTGCCACCTTTCGCGATGTCTGGCTGGACTAGGGGGAAAACAAACCTACCTCGCTTTTGACCACCCTCGCTTCCAAGAGATACCAAACGATGCCAAACTACGGCCTGTACTGGTCAGGCCGCTTGACGAGGAGGCGCGTGGTATGACTTGGTTATGCCTGGAAGCGAAAGCGAGGTAGGTCATTCACGCTCTGATGGACTCTGATCATGAACAAAACGCATGCCGGTTCCCTCACTTAGAAAATCTGGGTGACAGATTTCCTGGTGCCAGATACAGGTGGTGAAGATTTTGTGGGCCGATCGATTGCGGCAACAGTTGCCGTCCTTCCCGGCCTAGGCCTTATTCCGGTCTCGCCAGTGCACTGGCAGTTCCCTGACGGCGCTGTTGCTCTTTTTCCATAGTAGACCACGTTGCCAAAATATTGTGGCGAACCCACATTCGACGGATCTGCCCAGCATGATCTAGGATCACGCTTAGACGGAGATGCCGATGTTACGATTCTTCGCATGTTTGTGGAACACCAACTTGAGAGGGATAGCTCCCTCGAGGCCATGGGAATGGTTCTAAGCATTTTTACTGGAGGTCTGCTCAGATGACATGTGAGTGCTATGCCCAGGGCTTGTGCCCCAGATGCGGCCTAGACACTGAGACTGCGCTTCACCGAGCTTGGTCGCGCCGCTGCAGTGCTGATCTGCCCGATGCGGCCACTCCCAAATCCGATGCTTTGAACTCCGCAGCTCGGAATCACCCAGGGGCACTTCAGCTTCTGGCTCCGTGGCCTGCCTCCCACGTCCGCTCACTGACCGTGGGCGCCCTCCAAAGCCTGCCGCTCTCTCGCGTGGGACTGGCGGGTACGGCTGACGAGCGGGGCCAGTGTCCATGGAGGACAATTGGTGCCTGGATGCAATCGTCTGCGCGCTGGATGCGATTGGCTGCGCCGTCTGGGGCGCCCGGCGCAAGCTGGGCGGCGGCCTTGCACACTGTCGCGGCGGTCAGCGTAAAGGGATAGGACTCTGCCGATAACCTCCCAAGGCGTTACCCTTCACGCTGTGACACTGGGCTGGCCGGGGTGCGCGGTCTGCGCCAGGTGGGGCTCTAACCCTCACTCTGGTCCACCCACGCGCATCTTTAGGCCTACTGGTGTGTCACCATAGGCTCACTGCCAAAGGTTCGTGGCAGTTGCGATGCAGCTGCCGTGGCCGCCCGCAATATGTGCGGGCGGTTGCCAGTGGTCTCCGTCCCACTGTGGACTCCTAGTGTTCTCATCCAGCTGTCTACCAGGCTATACGCTTCTGCACACCTAGCGCGCCTTGAGCCCAGGGTGGCCCGTGGGGGGGGGGGCGGCAGCTGGCACAGCATTTTTCTCCCAAAGCGGAGTCTCTCCCTATGCGGAGACATGCTGGTCATAATGTACCAGTTCGGCGGGGTCCCGATTGCTTGCGCTCATCGTGTTTTACCCCGTTCGCGACCCGAGGGCGTGCTCGATGTTTCAACTAGGGTGCGTGTTGCTCGCGCCCCCCCCCCCCCCCCGCAGTTGCGTACTTTTGCGCGCGCCCGTGCGCAATCTCTGAACGACTGCACGTATCGCCGCCAGCCCATCTGCGCCAGACCCACTACCCCATCTCTAGAGCAAAACATAACGACATGAGCAAGAACTTTTGGAGGTCCGCGCGGACTTCTGGGATCGGCGCTGGACCCCCATCCCTGGCGCGCCTGAGCGCCGATCCAAGACATCCACGCGGAGCTTCGAAAGTGTACGCTTGTGCGAATATCTTTGGATCTCCGACCATTGTGAGCGTTCTTTTATTCGGCGTATCGACATTGGGAGGAAGGGGGGGGGAGGGGGGGGGAGGGCTCCGGGCCGCTGCTTGGTGCGACTGTTTGCAGCAGTGCGTCCATTATGGCGGAGGCCCCACCGGCTCGAAACAGTCGCCCAAAGCAGCCGAGGTCTGCTCCAGGGGAGGGGGGGGAGGGGGAGGCGCGAGGGCCCGCGCCGATCGGCAAAACAGCGAATCAAAAACGACCACATTCTCATGACCTCTTGTTGAGCAGGGTCCGACCGTCCAGGCATTTGTATAGTCCTACCACGAAATGTTCTTAGAGCCCAAAAATGTTCTAAGAACAAAAACAATGTTCTTAGAACATAAGCCCGGTGTGCTAAAACAAGACAATATCCGCCAGAAATGTTCGAAGAACATTTCGTGGAAACCAGAAAAGGTTCTTAGAACATTGTTTGGTAGGGCTATAGGCGAGCCAGGACGCTTCGCCACTGCTTGATCTTGCTTCTCCGATCTCTGGAGAGCGCCCCCCTCCGTTGCCGCGCGCCGACCAAGCAC